GTCATTAGGAGGTGTGGGCTGCAGAATCATCAGTACGCTGATGATACCCAGCTCTACCTCATTTTCCACCAATCCAGGTGAGGCAGTGGCTGTGCTGAACCAGTGCCTGGCCGAGGTAATGGGCTGGATGAGGGCCAATAAACTGAAGCTCAATCCAGACAAGACGGAGGTCCTGTTGATGGGTGGTTCAGGATGAGGGACGTGGGCCTTGTCCTAAATGGGGTTGCACTCCCTCTGAGGGACAGGGTTCGCAGCTTGGGAGCGCTCCTCGACCCTGAGCTGTCTTTAGAAGCCCAGGTGACAGTGGTGGCAAGGAGCGCTTTCCTTCAGCTTCGGCTGATCAATCAGCTGCGTCCCTTCCTGGAAAACGATTGCCTGGTGACAGTGACACACGCGTTGGTAACTTCCTGATTAGATTTCTGCAACGCGCTCTACGTGGGGCTACCCTTGAAGACGGTCCAGATACTTCAATTGGTGCAGAATAGAGCTGCCAGGCTGCTGACAGGGACTGGGCGTTGTTCTCATATAACCCCAGTTCTCCATCAGCTCCACTGGCTTCTGATTGAAGTCCGGGCCCAATTCAAGGTGTTGGTGATGACCTATAAAGCCATCAACGGCTTGGGCCCTGGGTATCTAAAGGAACGCTTGTGTCCATATATGCCCTCCCACTCCTTGAGATCAGCAACAGATGCCCTTCTCTGGGAACCCTCTGTGAATATTAGGAGGGTGAGTACCCGGAGGAGGGCCTTCTTTGCGGTGGCGCCCCACCTATGGAATGTGCTCCCCAGAGAGGTCAGCCTGGCGCTGTCGTTATTTGTTTTTCAGCACCAGGCTAAGACCTTTTTATTTAAAACTTATTTTAAGTGTTAATTTATTATGTAGGATTTTAAAATTTTTAAGCCAAGATGCACCGGGTTTTAATATTTTTCAGTGTATAACTTTGTTTTAATATAATTTTGTATATTTTTGTTTTTGTTGTAAGCCGCCCGAGGCTTTGTTGCGATGGGGCAGCATAAAAATGTTTTAAACAAGCAAACAAATAAAATTCTTTTCCTTCCCTCCCTCGTTTTTATTTATTTATCCCACCTGAAGAATAATTATAGGAAATTTAATAGCTGAATACTTTTATCATTTTAGTTGGTCCTAAAAGAAGTATTACCTTCCTCTTACTTTAGGATTTGTTTCCTAATCAACCCTAAAGGACAGGGTCCGCAGCTTGTGAGTACTTCTCGACCTGGAGCTGTCCTTGGAAGCTCAAGTGACTATGGTGGCGAGGAGCGCTTTCCTTCAGCTTCGGCTAATCCATCAGCTGCATCCCTACCTGGAGGACGATTGCATCCCTACCTGGAGGACAGCGACACATGTATTGGTTACTTCCCTGTTGGATTTCTGCAACGCGCTTTACGTGGGTCTACCCTTGAAGACAGTCCAGATACT